TAATCTACAAAAATCAGTAATCTTTCTATATACAAATAACCAATCAAAGAAAGAGTACAGGGAAACCCTCCCTTTCACAATAGCCTCAAAAAAATATCTAGGAATAAACCTGACCAAAGACATTAAAGATCTCTACAATGAAGATTTTAAACCTTTAAAAAAAAAGAGATTGAGGATGATATCAGAAGATAGAAGGACCTCCCATGCTCATGGATTGGAAGAATTAATATTATGAAAATGACCATCCTACCAAAAGCAATCCCAATCAAAATCCCCATGACATACTTCGCAGAATTAGAAAAAAAATTCCAAAATTCATATAGAAGCACAAAAGACCCCACATAACCAAAGCAACACTGAGCACAGAGAAAAATGCTGGGGGATTACTATACCAGATCCCAAACTATATTACAGAGCTATAGTCATAAAAACAGCATGGTACTGGCACAAAAATAGACACATAGATCAATGAAACATAATTGAAGACCCAAACATGAGTGCACGCATTTTCAGCCATCGAATATTTGACAAAAGTGCCAGGAATACACAATGAGGAAAGACAGCAACTTCAACAAATGGAGCTGGCAAAACTAGATCTCTGCCTGTGAAAGAATGAAACTAGATCCTTATCTTTCACTCTGCACAAAAGTCAACTCCAAATGCATCAAATATCTCAATGTGAAACCTGAAACTCTGAAACTGTTAGAAGAAAACATTAGCAGTAAGGTGTAGGGAAGATATAGCTGTAGGAAAGGACTTCTAAATCTGACATCAGTTGCTCAGGAATTAAGGTCAATAATCACCAAGCAGGACCTCGTTAAGCTACAAAGCTTCTGTACAGTAAAAGGAACAACCCAGAAAGTGAAGAGAAAACTCAGAGAAAATCTTCACCAGTAACACATCTGACAGAGGTTTAACATCCAGAATATGTAAAGAACTCAAAAAGCTATCAAGAAAACAAATGACCCAATTAAAAGATGGGCTAAAGATATAAACAGAGTTCTCAAAAGAAGAAATAAAGATGGCTAAGAAACTTTTTTTTTTTTTTGGTCTTTTTGAGACAGGGTCTCCCTGTAGCCCCAGCTGACCTGAAACTTACTATGTAGACCAGGCTGGCCTCGAACTCACAGAGATCCGCCTGCCTCTGCCTCCCAAGTGCTGGGATTAAAGGTGTGTGCCACCATGCCCAGCTAACACTTTTTAAAGTATTCAACATTGTTTATAATTAGGGAAATGCAAATTAAAACCACCTTAATATTTCTTCTTACCCCAGTCAGACTGGCAAAGATTAAGAGAACAAATGATACTAAATGCTGGCAAGGATGTGGAGAAAGGGGAATGCTCATTCACTGGTGGTGGGATTGCAAACTCGTGCAACCTCTATGGAAAACAGTGTGGAGAACCCTTAAAAAACTAAAAATGAACCTACCACATGACCCGGTTATACCACTCCTTGGCATATATCCAAAGGACTCATCCTATTGCAGAGACACTTGTACATCCATGTTTGTTGCTGCTGTTTACACAATAGCTAAGAGATGGAAGCAACTTAAGTGTCCCTCGATTGATGAGTGGTTAATGAAAATGTAGTACATTTATACAATGGAGTTCTAGTCAGCAGTAAAAAAGATGAAATAATGAAATTTTCAAGTAAATGGATGGATCTAGAGACTGTTATACTAAGTGAAGTAACACAGACTCAGAAAAACAAATGATGGATGTTCTCATTTGTGTATTCTAGCACCAAATCTTTTTTAAAATTATTTATTTAATAACCACATAATTACTAGAAACATTTCATTAAAACAGCATTGACATATTCAATAACAAGTTCCAGAGCAAAGATGCATCTCTTTCAAAATTGGCTGTAAAGTTTTAGCTTCACAGTTGAATTAATACAGTTATACAATATTGTACTCAGTATAAACCCTATAAGACATAAAATTGAATGAGGTTTTAACCTTTTAAAAAGATCTCCATTTCATTTTAAAATATACTGTTTCATACAGAAAAAAACCCATTTTTAATGCAACTAGCACTTAGATGTTTGCATATGCATCTCTAATCTCTATATATCTGATTATTACTAGTCACAGTCAGTTACTTTCTGAGATCCTTGGCACCTGAGCATGAATATAAAGTCATCAGGTAGATTTCGATGTTTTTCACATCTACTAATTAACATGCAGCAAAATTTTATGTTTCTTCATCAAATATAACTCATTTTTTATTTATTGATTTTTGTGTGTGTGTATTTCATACAGAACATTGCAAACAATCTTATCTATATAACAGCATCCCAAATGGCACCCTCCCGTAGCCCCCCACCACTGAAGCCCATATACTCTGTCATCCCTGTTACTGTCCACTGTGTTGTCAGTGCCCCTAGCCATTTCCCGGTGCTTATCCATCTGCTGAGTCTAGTCAGCCTATCTAAAGTTCCTTGTTTTAGGAAGATCAGCTCTTCCCCATCTAGCAGCAATCAGTTGCCAATATTCCTTTAGATAAGACTAGGGTCTGCTGTTCAATTTCCCGGTTCTGTGCTGGGTTACTGTCAGGGAGTCTCTTGGGCCACCCTGGCCAACAACTCAAAGGAAAGTATCTCCTGTCTGGCATTGTTTCTTGTTATGTAGCCTTTAGCTATACACATGGACTCTTAAAGAATTGTATTGATCCCTTTAATCTTTTGTTATACTTTCCTTTTTGGTGTTTAAGACCATACAGTGGGCCCAGATAAACCAATTTATTTTTACTCTTAAGGTTGTTTGAGGATCTGTTCCTCAGGGGTCACATGGGCTTGGGAGGAGCCCCTGGCTTCTTTCTTTTACCAGTTCCATCTATGTAAAGATAAGTCAAAGGTCCTGCTCGACCATAGCTGGCTTCACTTGGAAGCATGGAGGAAATGATCCCTCTGAGTTGATACTCCTTTTTATAGACTAGACACTGGTTCAAGTCCATTTGGTGGGGTCTCCATGGCCTCCTTGATCAAGAGGACAGGTGACTCACCACAGTTAAGAATACATTTTGAGAGATGCTCCATAGTCCCCTGGAACTTAGTCAACCTTGGAGGGCAAGGAGCAAAAATTGTCCTTTAAGTCCCTCTGACCAAATTAGTATAGGCCTCAAAGTATGGCTATTAGTATGGCTATTGAACATCCAAGAAGGTTAGTTCCACCAGTCTGGTACTTTTAATGAGCATGTGCTATGTAGATAAAGCTTGGGCAAAGACCAAAGGTTCTCGGATAAACCTTGAGTAGACATTTATTATGTTCCTTGAGCTAGTTGTATGTGTAATTTGTCAGTAGGTTGTTGTACTAACATGGTTCCCTCTGGGTTTTTTTTAACTAGCTAGTCATTATTTATCTCTCACATTGTCTAACCTTTCCACCATAGTTTCCCCACTTAAAGTGCCCCCATTTTTCCCATTTCTCCCTTAATAATACCCTTCTAGCAGACACATTGCAGGATCTGACACAGCCAGCCCTATGTTTGCAGATGGAGAACTGCAAGGTGCCATTGCAATGAGATTGCTGGTAACAGGTGCATCCAATTTGGGCAGAAAGGCTACACAGAGCACCAGCATTTTTCAAAAAAAATGTGACGGAGCTTCTGTCTGCCCATCGCATCTCTTACTAGTGGTTTATGATGTTCTGTATGAAATACACAAAATTTTAATAAAAAATGTTAAGAAACAATTTAAGATTAAGGCGAATAAAAGATTAAAAAGTCAAAAAAGTTTTCCAAATATAGAACAAAAATGCAAGAGAGAGGAAGTATGAAGAACTAGAGATGATGTGGGGCTAGTTTAGAAGGGTCATACCAATACACATTCCAAAAATGGGGGAGAAAGGATGAAATAATCGAGGAAATAATAGAAGAAAAAGTTCCAGTATTGAAGACAGTGGTTCTTTAATTGAAAGGCCTTTTCCAACACCAGGCAGAACAAATGAAAATATATGTACATTAGACACATCCTCGTGAGATTTGGGGATAGCAAGCATGAAGACAAGATAACAATTTCCAAAGCTTATTTTTAAAACCCTGCAAAGGGCATGAGGATATGATGCTTCTTGAACATTTTACTAATGATACTGATGAGAGATAACAGAAGCAGCATCTCTAAAATTACAGGTCAATTCATTTTCAATTTAGACTTCTAAACCTTAAAATACTGTTTATATGTGTAAGGATAAAATGTAACTATTTTCAGATATTTAGGTCTTTGAAAACTGGATTTTTATATTCTTCTTGAGAAAAAGTAGCCAACTGATATAGTGAATAGTGTCCCCCCAAAACAAACAACAAACTCAAAACAAAAAACTAGAAGAGCTATTAAATAGAGCCAGAGAGAGGTGCACACAAGTTCATCTGTAACTAAAATGACCCCAGCTTGTAGAATGGTGTCATTCCACCTTGAGTCCAGGGATACTTAGAAAAATCAACACTCCAGATTAAAATTTTATCAAAATATAAGGCAAAGGAAAAAGTGACAGGAAGAGCAACTGATCTCAAATATTTTTTTTTAAAGAACAAGAACTTAGAAACTGTGCCCCAGAGCCAAACTCCTCTTGCAACGAGTAGATGGACCCCGGTGCCTCTCCCATCTTGTCTTCTGCACACAACACAGAACACAACACAGGTATACACACACACACACACACACACACACGCACACACACACACATCCGAATCCCCAAACAAGGCACCTGCTAAAAGAACAAAGTCCTGACCATCAAGGTAGGTTAGAAAACAGCAAGATAATCACAAGATTGCAGGCAAGAGGTAATCGTTAAACAGCTGAGAGGAACTGGAGAGCAAGCCTGCTGAGCATTATTTAGGATTGAGTCCTTGGTAACTGAGTGGGCAGGGGTAAAAGAGAGAAAGTAGGGTAACTCCTGGGTTCAACTGGAAGGTTTCTGACTGAAGGACCAAGCTCTACTTGAGAATACTGCAAGGATCATGGTGTGGAAGTGAAGCAGGGGACACAGCTTTGCACCAAGGAAAACATCACTGAAAGGCTAGGTAACGTGATTTAGTGCCAAAGTCCTGTCCTGATCTTTACTGTTATTATTAATGTATTAACCTTGTTTCTCAGATGGGCTCTAATGCAGTGCTGTATGTACTGTAACTGCATGATTGCATAATGGCAGTGCTACCTATTGCACACCTGCACTAGGCACTTTTATTACATTTGTGTGTGTGTGTGTGTGTGTGTGTGTGTGTGTAGGTGTGTGCATGTGGAGATCAGAGGACAACTTGTGGGAGCTGCTTCTCTACTTCTACTATGTGGATTCCAGGTATTGAGGTCATCAGGCTTGGCAGCAAGCTTCCAGGCACCTTTCTAAAAGCTTTCCATGTATTAACTTAGCCATTGCTTCCCCAAATCCTGTGAGGTAGATAGTTCTGTATAATTTCCTGATAAGGAAACTGATCTCATTCCAGTTGATAATTATATTAGTTACTTTTCTGTTGCTGTGATAAAATACTATGACCAAGGCAACTTATAGAGGAAGAGTTTATTTGGATTCATGGATCCAAAGGGCTAAGTCCATCATGGTGAGGAAGCCTGGCCGCAGGCACAGTGGTGGCAGGAACAGGAAGCTGAGAGCTCACATCTTCAACATCAGATAGGAAGTAGAGAAAGTGAACTGGAAGTGGGTGAGGCTGTGAGCTGAAAGCCGGACCACAGTGACATGCTTCCTCCAGCAAGCCTTACTTCCTAAAGGTCCATGATCTCGCCAAACAGTATCACCAGCTGGGGACCAAGTGTTCAAATACTTGAGCCTATGGAGGACATTCAATACATCACAATACTGCAGCTGGTAAATTTTTATATTCTCTGAGCTACATTAAATGCCAGTTCTGAAAACTAAAAAAAAAAAAAAAGTAACATGGCCACCACAGGCGTAATTAGGATTTAGTACCTTGTCTGTTTACCTGTAGGATCACTAGGTGTCAGAGTCTTGAAGGTATTACATTTCTGGGTACCAGACATTTATATTCTTACTGCTTCACCAACCAATATCAAGTTATTATGAAATATTCCCAATGATTTGTTAACAGTGTCACTGGGCGCCTACTTTATATGTATAGTAAAGGATACATGTCCTTCCTTAGAAAGATGATGAGATTAGTGATGAAGAGCCTGATGAAGAAGATATTGCAAACATCCTTGAAGAGGAGTTTCCAAAAGATGAGGAAGAGATGACTGAGGAGGATGAAGAACAGGAAAGCGAGGCAACTGAGCGCCTGAGAAGTGAACTGGGAGAAAAATTTGAAACAGATAGAAGTTGTTTACAAATGATACAGGTTATGACTTCTTCATTTTTCTTGACAGTTTACAAAAGCAAAAAAGGCAACTTTGTTTAATATCTTATTTCTTTATAATATTTTAAAAGATAGTGACTGTTTCAAGGCTGTATGCCCTTTGTCAGCACCACTTTAAAATTATGGAAACAGGTTTTTAGATCAAGAGGACCATATATGCCGCTGGTCCTCATTAGTATAGTGGCGGTATTCCCACCTGTCATTCGGGAGACAAGAGGTCAAGTCTCTGACAAGGAGGCAATTGCCTTTGCCAGCCTGGTCTACATAGTGAGTTACAGGCCAGATAGAGTTACAGGGAGAAACTGTCTCAAAAATCACACACACACACACACACACACACACACACACACACACACACGCCTCCACGGTCAGAGTTTATCTACCAGCAAATGGCTACCTAGACAGCTGAAAAATATTTGTTTTGTGCAGTTAAGTAGTCAGCAGTCATGTCTATATGTTAAAACTTAATACCACTAAATATGATTTCTCTTATTAGGAAGAATTTGAGAAGTTTCTGATACCAATAATTCACATTAATGGATCTCGGAAAATCCATATTGTACAATATATATTGAATTTGAAATTGAAGCCACTGGTGGAAAATCGTGCAAGCATTTTTGAAAAATGTTATTCAATACCAGCACATGTTGCTCAAAAAATGCTCACCTTTACCTACAAGTACATGAGCTCATTCGGCTATTGGGACCCTGTGAAGGTAATGTCAGTGACTTCACCTGAAACCTTGTTCTTTCCTTAATTTTTACAAGTTGTTTAGGAAGACTAGATAATTTTAAAATGGTAAATTTTTATATGATATTCTTAACTAGTTACAAAAATATTTGAGGGACCTGAAATGGAACCATTTAACTTTCATCTTTGCTTTTACTATAAAATGCATAACATGGAACAGACACGCTGTCCCACCCCGAATCTCTTCATATTTCTATCATTTATTCTCAGACATAAATTTCATTCCAGTCTAAGAATGAATGATGGTGCTGTTGATACTATTGACCTATGTCACCTGTTCTGGTGTAGCTCTCAGAGGGAAGCAGTGTGACCATATCATTTCATAACTACTTCTGCTAAGTCCAGGATAGATGATTCTTGGTTATCTGATGCAACCCCTAGCACCATCTTAGGAGTAGATCTGCTTGTGACGACAAATGAACCCGGGAATAAATGCAACAGTCTTACATGCTTTGGCAGAAATAGCCAATATATACTGAAGACCTTATAGAGGAAGGAGAATTGTAATTCTCATAAACTGAAAACCAACTAGGAAACACTACATTGATTGCAGATGCTTATGAAATCATTTGTGCTTTGTATACAGTTATTTTGTACTAATATTTATAACCAGTTTTTCTTACTGTGTAACAAAGACTATGCTTTTACATTTTACAAATTTTTTTCAAATATATTTGAAGGAAATGCAGTATAAATTAAAACTAATTTACAAATTCAATTGTATTACAGCTAAATGAAGGAGAAACAATCAAGCCAATTGAAAATGCAGAGAATCCACTGAATCCTGTAATCCATCGTCAATATATTTATTTTTTATCTAGTAAACAAACTAAAGAAAAATTTATGATGAACCCAATCAAATATATCCGGCAACCCAAGCCTAAGGCTACTATGCCTGTTAGGGTTATGATTGTGGGGCCTCCGAAATCTGGGAAAACTACAGGTAAATGTGCTTGTCTTTGTTTTCCTCAAGCATAAAAGAATCTCTGAAACCCAGCACCACCTCTCCAGGAAACCAGCCCTCAGAATTAGCTACTCCAAAAGGAGTTAGAGTGGGCTGCCAGCATGGTTCAGTTAGTAGAGTGCTTGCCTAGTGTTAGAAATGGGTCTGGGGGTCTCAAGAAAATGACCACACAATCCGAAGCACTTCAGCAAGGCAACAGTTTTCCTTCTGCTTTTCACAACCAGTTTGCCATCAGAATGCAGGTATTGTGAAAACCACCGCCAACTCGAAGCCAAAATAGGAAAGGAAAAGACTCACATCAACATCATGGTCACTGGACACGTAGATTTGGGCAAGTCTACCGCTACTGGTCACCTGATCTACAAATGTGGTGGGATCGACAAACGAACCATGGAAAATTTGAGAAGGAGGCTGCTGCGGTGGGAAAAGGCTCATTCAAGTATGCCTGGGTTTTGGACAAACTTAAAGCTGGGCATGAGCGTGGTATCACTGTTGACATCTCCCTGTGGAAATTTGAGACCAGCAAATATTATGGGACTATCATTGATGCCCCAGGACACAGAGACTATCAAAAACATGATTACAGGCACATCTCAGGCCGACTGTGCTGTCCTGATTGTTGCTGCTGGTGTTGGTGAATTTGAAGCTGATATCTCTAAGAATGGGCAAAATTGTGAGCAAGCCCTTCTGGCTTACACATCGGGTGTGAAACAGCTGATTGTTGGTGTCAACAAAATGGATTCCACTGAGCCACCCTACAGCCAGAAGAGATAGGAGGAAATTGTTAAGGACATCAGCACCTACATTAAGAAAATTGGCTACAACCCTGACATGGTAGCAGTTGTGCCAATTTCTGGCTGGAATGGTGACAACATGCTGGAGCCAAGTGCCAATATGCCTTGGTTCAAGGGATGGAAGGTCACCCGTAAGGATGGCGGTGCCAGTGGAACCACACTGCTGGAAGCTTTGGACTGTATCCTACCATCAACTGGTCCAACTGACAAGCCTCTGCAACTGCCCCTCCAGGATGCCTACAAAATTGGTGGTATTGGTACTGTCCCTGTGGACAGAGTGGAGACCAGTGTCCTCAAACCTGGCATGGTGGCTACCTTTGCTCCAGTCAGTGCCACAACTGAAGTCAAGTCTGTTGAAATGCACCATGAGGCTTTGAGTGAAGCTCTTCCTGGAGACAATGTAGGCTTCGATGTAAAGAACATGTCTGTCAAAGATGTTCGACGTGGAAATGTTGCTGGTGACAGCAAAAATGACCCTGGAAGCAGCTGGCTTCACTGCTCAGATGATTATCCTGAACCAACCAGGCCCAATTAGCACTGGCTATGCCCCTGTGCTGGATTGTCACACAGCTCACATAGCTTGCAAGTTCGCTGAGCTTAAAGAAAAGATTGATTACTGTTCTGGTAAGAAGCTGGAAGATGGTCCTAAATTCTTGAAATCTGGTGATGCAGCCATAGTTGACGTGGTTCCAGGCAAGCCCATGTGTGTTGAGAGCTCTTCTGGGTCATTTGGCTGTTCGCAACATGAGGCAGACAGTTGCTGTGGGTGTCATCAAAACTGTGGACAAGAAGACTGCTGGAGATGGCAAGGTCACCAAGTCCGCCCAGAAAGCTCAGAAGGCTAAATGATTATTATCCCTAATACTTGCCACCCCAGTCTTAATCAGTGGTGGAAGAATGGTCTCAGAACTTTTGTCTCAATTGGCCATTTAAGTTTAATAGTAAAAGACTGGTTAATGATAACAATACATCATAAAACCTTCCGAAGGAAAAGAGAATGTTTTGTGGACCATTTTTTTTGTGTGTGTGTGTGTGTGTACATGCATACATTGTGTGTGTGTGTGTGTGCATGTGTGTATGGCAGTTTTAAGTTATTAGTTTTTAAAATCAGTACTTTTTAATGGAAACAACTTAACCAAAAATCTGTCACAGAATTTTGAGACCCATTAAACAAGTTTAATGAGGAAAAAAAAATGTTTTCCTTCTGCAGAAGGTGGTAGCCTTGCCAAATGAGACAGGCAGGCACACCCAGTGGGGGCTTACTGGGTTTCTATTCCTAGTGCAAAAGGGTTCTGTGTCTCCCTCTGAGTGGTCAAAGCTCGGCCCCTCATTCTTAAGGATATTGGCTAACTTAAAACAGCTGAGCAAAGTGTAGCCAAGTGAAGCTTTGAGACCGGGATGCTACCGTAAGTACAAAGTACAACCTTGAGCATATATTTCCTTCTTAGAAAAATGCTGACTGAGAGAGAGATTTTTGCAAGATGGTATCTTTACATATTTCTTTAATGACAGAACTACTTCTGTCTCATTTAATCCTTTGAGAGAAAAAACAGTACCTTTCCTTTACATTTTCCACACTAGTGTGCCCAAAGCTTGTAACCACAGCACCCCATAAAGAACCCCAGCATGATGGCTGCCCAGGGTCCTGAGACTAAGTGATAGTTGAGCCCGAGCCCTAAACAGGATATTTACACCACCTACACAGCCTGGGCTTGTCAATGGTCAATCTTGGATCTGGAAGGGATTCCATTTCTCCATACTAAACCATTTGCTATTGGTGGTTTCTAGGGGAGGGGCAACCATTGTCTTCACCTGTGGACCCACTGATGAACCCACCAGGCTCCAGTGGATAGGTCAAAACCCATGGTCACATAGATGACACTGGTTAACTCAATGGGCCACAAAACAAAACAATTACATAAATGTGGGGAAGGGACTTGTAGAGAGGAAAGAATAAGGGTGGATGGGCGGTAAGAGAGAGTGGGGGTGACAGGGATCAGAATGCACTATATGTATGTGTAAAATTGTCAAAGAACAAATTTAATAAAAGTTAATAACAATAATAATAATAATAATTTATAAAAAACAGCATGTGGCACAGGCCTATAATCCTAACCCTCAAGAGGAAAATTAGGAGTTCAAGGCCATCCTGGGCTGCATGACATTTGGCTTCAAAATTGAAACAGAAAAAAAGGATAGAAAACCAATTGTTATTAGAAAGATCAATAACCATTTAAACCTATCTTCCTTTTATTCTTTCTTTATATGTAGTTTATGTTCTTTGAGACATAGTCTGGCTGTGTAGCCCAGCTTGGCCTTGAACTCCCTATCTAGTCCAGACTGCCTTCAAATTCATACCAATCCTCTTGCTTCATAGCCTCCCTAATGCTGGTATTATAAACATACACCACCACACTTGGATTTCTAATCACCTTTCTGTGACTATAACAAAATACCTGAGATATTAAACATAAAAAAGAAAGGCTTATTTGGGCTCACAGTTTTGGAGGTTTCAGCTCATGGACAGTTGGCCCCCTTGTTCTTCAGCCTGCGATAAGGAGCCTGTGACAAGAGGAATATGATGGGACAAGGCCACTCCCTTCCTAACTGGGACACCAAAAAGAGAAAGAGTCTGGGATCCTCAAAGTCCCTTCAAAGACATGCCCCCAATAACCTAAAACCCCCTACCAGGTCCCACCTTTGCAAGATTCCACCTCCCAGTAGCACCAAGTCTTCAGCACATGGTGAAGACTCTCCCCGCTCCCGTATCCATTCCCCAGACTCTTCCCATTCCCAAACACTCTTCTGTCTTCAGACAATTTTTGTTTCATTTTTAGTTTCTACATATGAAAGAAAGCATGTAACACATATTTTCTAGGTCTTTCTGGGCCTGGCTTATTTCACTTAACATCATTTCCTTCAGTGTCCTGAAATCACATAATTTCATAACTTGATTCTTCTTTATAGCTGAATAGTAATACTCTATTGTGTGTAAATACCATATTTTTGTTATTCATTCTTCTGTTGACAAGCACCCAGGTTGAGTGTTAGCCACTGTGAATAGTGTGCCACAGTAAACATAGTGTGCAGGTGTCCCCTGGGTATGCTCACTTCATTTCCTTTGGATAAATGCCCAAGCATGAGATAGCTGAATCATATCATAGTTTTAGTGTTTTTTCAAGGAATCTCTACTCTTTTCCATAGTGGCTGTGCTAATTCACATTCTCACCACCAGTGTGTAAGAGAATTCCTTTTTCTCCACATCCTTGTCAGAGTTTTTTATAGTAAATATTCTGGCTGGAGTAAGATGGAATCTCAATATAATTTCAGTTTACATGTTCATGATGGCTAAATATAGTCAGCATTTTCACATATTTGCTGTTCATTTGTGCTTCTTTGAGAAATGTTTGTTCAGATCATTCACCTTTTTGTTGGATTGTGGGTTTTTTTGCTATTAAGTGTTTTCAATTCTTTGTATATTCTAGGTAGTAATCCTTTGTCAGATAAATATCTAACAAAGATTTTCTCATTGTGAAGACTGCCTCCTGATAAATTGGTTTTGTTTTTGGTTTTGGCTGTGCAGAAGCTTTTCAATTTGCTATATTCCTATTTGTAAATTTTCTGCTTTATTGGTGTATAGATTTTCAAAATACCCCCTTAATTATCCTATGAATTTCAGTAGCGTGTGTTATAACATCCTTTTTTCACCTCTAATTTTATTTGTTTGGGCCTTTTCTCTCTTCTGCTTAATTTATCTAAGGATTTGTCAATTTTGTTTATCTTTGGAATGAACCAACTCTTTGTTTCACTGACCCTTTGTGGTGTTCTTTTAGTTTCAATTTCGTTTATTTCTGCTGTGATCTTTGTTATTTCTTTCTCTCTATTGATTATGACTTTAGTTTGTTCTTGTTTTGTTTTAGACCTTTAGATACATACTGTTTTTTCATTGATATCTATCTTTTTAAAAATATTGTATTATTTTATTTTATGTATATGAGTGTATTGCCTGTATGTGTGTCAGTGCCCCTGTGCCATGCAGTGCCCACAGAGGTCAGAAGAAGGCATTGGATCCCCTGGAACTGGAGTTACAAATGGTTGTTAGCTGCCATGTAGGTACTGGGATTCAGCCCCCCCCCCGCATACCCATGACTACAAACTTTCCTCTTAGTACTGTTTTGTACCTTCCTGTCCTGTTTGTGTTTTCATTCTAATTTTTTTGGAATAATCTAAACTATTTCTGTATATAGATGCTTGTTAAAGTTTTGATGGTTTGCTAACTTGCTATTTGGCTTGCTCCTAATTCTAATTTGCTTATCGACTCTCCTAGTGAATTTATTCTTTGCCATATTCTCAACATTGTGTTCATCTCACTTCATAAATTCCTATCTAGCACCATGAATTCCTTTAGTTTATGCTTATCTTAGAAAGTTTTTGTGTATCTTTGTATTGTGAAGGATAACTTTGCTGGATATTGTACTCTGTTTTCTTTCAAGCCTTTAACTATCACTGAAGTCCTCCTGGCCTTTAGGATTTCTGCTGAGAAATATTTATACATGACTTGGCACTACTCTCATACAGCTTTTAATATTCTTTGTTCTGTAGTTTTGGCAGTCTATAATGTGTCATGGAGAGTTTCTGTTCTTGTTAGTCCTATTTAGGATTCCAAGTGCCTTCTGTAATTGCATATCTTTTCTGAGACTTGGAAAATTTTTTGCTATTACTTCACTGAATGGGTGTCTGTGTCTGTAGTCTGTAGTTTGTCTCCTTTGTCAGTACTGATTACGCAGTTGTTTAAATTGTCTTTTTACAGATTTTTAAAAAACATTTATGTGCATGTATGTGTGTCTGTAGGAGTTTATATGTACCATGTACATGCAGGTGCCCGTGGAGACCAGAGGGCATTGGATCTCTTGGAACTGGAGATATAGGCAGTTTTGAGTGAGCCACCTCATATGGACACTGGGAACCAAACCCAGGTCCTCTGAAAGAGCAGTATATATGCTTAACTGGTGAGACATCTCTCCAGCCCTCTTAGATCTTGTGTATCTTGTTTATTCTTTCTTACGTTTCTTTATTGCTCTCTGAATACAACAATTCAACTTTGTCTTCAAACCCTGGTACTCTTTCTTCCACTTAATCTGTCATTGGTTGCTATCAACTAATTTTTTTAAAATTTGTCTTATTGAGATTTCCATTTCCAAAATTTCTGACAGATTCTATTTCAGCATCTCTATCTCTTTACTGAATTCTTTCCTTCTTATCTTTCTTCCTTAATTTAGCAATTTACTTGTATCTTTTTAATGTTGATTTTTTTTAATCATTCCTTTAAAATTCTTTATCCAAGGAGTCTTGGAAATGGCTCAGTAGGTAAAGTGTTAGCCTTGTGAGTATAATAACCCATATATTTTTAAGAAACCAGGTATGATGGTGCATGTTTGTCATTTCTTTCTCTCTTTTTTTTAAATGTGTATGAGTGTATTGGCTGCAGGTATGCTTAGTGGACCCATGTTGTGCAGAGCCTGCAGAGTTCAGAAGAGGACATCAAATTCCCCTGGAACTGGAGTTATGAGCCATTGTTAACCACCACATGGGTGCTGGGAATCAAACCTGGGTCCTCTGCAAGATCAGCCAGTGCTCTTAAACCACTGGGCCATCTCTCTAGCCCCGATGGCGCATGTTTGTAAACCCAGCACTGGAGAGGCAAAGACAAGGCTCACTGACTAGTCAGTCAACCCTTGGCAAGTTCTGGGTCATGAGAGGCCCTGTCTCAGGGCGGCCGAGGGGGGGGGGCGGAAGAGGAGAGGGAGAGAGAGAACCTGAAGAATGACACGTGAGGTTGTCCTCTTGCCTTCACACACACACACACACACACACACACACACACACACACACTCATGCATGCATACACAAATAAATAAATGTAATAATTTTTTAATTTCTTACCATGACAAATGAGTCATATTCTAAATGTTCACAAGTATTTCCCGAAGAAAGCAGAACTTTCACATCTGAAATAAAATTCCATGTCCAAAGCAAAGCTTAAAAACAAAGGCACAACAATCTGACTTCTTGCGTCTTTGTTGACATGAAAAGTAATTTTTAAACAATATGTAAAATTTTGAAAGCTTAATTAATTTTAGAATTTAAGCAGATCTGATTTGTTTCAACATTGTAGCAAAAGTGATTCTCACAGGTGCCTTCCTTTTGGGGGCACCTGGCCCTGATCACTCTGTTCTAGTGAGCTTTGGTTCCCCTCAGCTTTAAAGTTGGAATATTGATACCCATGCCACCCAAACTATAGGTGGACTGGAAATGGTATAATCCAATGAAGTAGGATTATTATATTGTTATTGTGGACATTGCACCAAATATACATAGGATTATTGCAGTGTTTCTCAAAATTTTGCTACTTACTGTAGGAATAAATTCTTTAAACATTGGTCAACCTTAGATGCATGTGGGGGAGGGGCTAAGGATATATAAGCTGAGAGGCACCTCTCTCGCCATTTTGTGTGGCTGTTGGGAAGTCACAGGATCTATGTTTGAGTGTGGACTTTCCAGTGCAGCCGTAAATGAGGGAGCACCCACTCTTCTGTAAATAACTCCCCACCTTATACTCCGTTAGCAACTCCTATAAACTAGTTAGGATTTAAAAAAAAAAAAAAAGAATGGAAATCTTCATTATTCTGCCAAAGTTGACCCCATGTTGGCAAATCCTTTGGTCTTTGATTTTCTTATTCCTGTTTTTCTCCCCTTAAACTTCATTGTATATATTTTTTCATGTAGCCTACTTCAAGTTATTTCTAGAAAAATGTGTTAAAAATTGACTCTCTTTGGAATAATAAACAAATAAATAAGAAGAAACACAATTGGCTCATTAACCAGATCCCAAAGTCACAAACCTGTACTAATAATAACTGAGGTTTGATAATTATTCATTCTTCTTTGAAAACTATGAAGATAAGCTTACTATTTGTGTCTGCAAATAAGCAGAATCTGAAAGTAAGCTTAACTGATGAGTATGTGAAATGAAATAGGCTTCATGTTTTATGTTTTTCAGTTGCCAAAAAACTTGCAAGTGAATATGGCTTAAAACGCTTGTCAGTAGGAGATACTTTGCGTGCTACATTAAGCAATCATCCGGAAACAGAGCTGGCACTTCTGCTGAACTGGCATCTTCACAGAGGAATGACTGTGCCTGATGAGCTGGCTCTTCAAGCCTTGGATCTTGCCCTGATGGAAAGTGTGTGCAATACCATAGGGTAAGTGAGTGGGATAGGAAGAAAGGGGAGAGAATTGGGTCTGTCAAGTTGCACACAGTTACTTAAAACATTTATTTTAGACAGGATTTGGAGCTCTTGGAAAGGGTATGATCTACTTCTCGAACTTTGAGCACCTAGCTGGCAACATAATTTTCTATGGAGGTGCATGACTTGAACCATGGCAGGTTAGCAGGCAGGCTCCTTCACACCTTACAGCAGCTCTTGTGTATGTAAAGAAGCCTCCAGGCTTGTGAGTCCACAGAGGCGGTCACTGTGACCTCCATACGCCACTAGTGCTTCTTACTGCTTCATGAAATGATGGAAGAATGACCCTTCTTGGTCCTCAGATGATGCTAGTCCCAGGGACATGGTCCCTCTCAGACCTATGTCCCTACACAGGGAGCAATGCCCCTCCTGTAACACTACATTTAAGCAAAAGAGCTGTGTGCTAGGCCTGCTTCTTCAGTTCACTCTCCTCTGCTGGATTTTTTTTTTCTCGGCACAGTCACTGGTCACACCCAGTAGTAACAGCGATCTCCAGTGAAGCCTCATACTCTGATCCTGAGTTCAGGTCACTGATCTAGAATCCCCTGATTTAATCAACATTGTCCTACATTCAGAACCTCCTGGCTTTTCCTTGCCAATGGCTTTGAATCAAGTCATTGAACAGTTCCTCCAAGTTAAGTTAGAGGGAGTCATTCCAGAGTGTCAAATGTTTTCTCAGTGACGGCCTTTGGGATAAGAATGAATATAGCCACACTGGGTTACTTCTAACTTGGTGCTCAGCTTTCGTTGGTGAAGGCAACTCTGCGTCGCAGACTTAGCTCACCTTAATTCCAAGATGAAAGCTTCTCATCACCTCTGGATTTCCCTAACCCTGAGGGCCTTTCAAATGACCCTTCCCACATTAAAGTGAGTTACTCTCTATTTTTAAAAATGGCACCCTCATACAGTCTCTCCTGTGATAGGCTGGCTATGTTGTTTATCTCTCTACTGAGGACTTCTATCTAGAGCCTGGGCTTTGCTGGAGAGCACTAGGCAGAAGATCCTGTGATTCAGGACGCGCAAACCTATATTGACAGCCATTAGCGAGCCACAAACCCAGCTTGCTCTACTTCACAGTAAGCAGCCTGACCTAGGAGGCCACTCCTCCCAGAATTTCTGAATTTTTAAAGTACTCTTTCCTCTCAGTTGGATAGTGACAATCTCATTATCTTAGACTGTGGACTAGAATTCTCATCCTTTCTGTTCGTGCATGGTTGGCCTTATAAGTTCTCCACCCTCTTCTGCATTCCAGCTTCTGTAGAATATTTCCTCCCAGAATACCAGTGAATATTTACTGAGTGTCTAGTAGATGCCACACCCCGTTCCTAGTTGCTTTACATGCCTGCTCGCCAATCTGTGTGTGTGATCTTTTATTTATTTATTTTTAACTTTAAAAAAACTTTATTGAGAATTTCATACATGCATATAAGGTGTTTTGATCAAATCCACGCCCACTTCCTCCCCTCCAACACCTCCCATATCTCCCCATCATTTTTTTCTGACAACTTCGTGTATTCTTTCTTTCTTTCTTTCTTTTTCTTTCTTTCTTTCTTTCTTTCTTCCTTCCTTCCTTCCTTCCTTCCTTCCTTCGCTTTTGGCTACTCTTACATTCCCCCCTGTGAAGAGGTAACCCTAAAATCTTTTAGAGATTAGATAAGAACTCCCAAATACTTTTGTCATTTTTGGCCTTTGGAACAGAGTATGTTGCTAAGAGGCCCAAGGACATTTTGATTTTTAGCCAAGACCCTGGCTTCTTTTCTTTGGGGTCTTTTTTACCCTACCTGCCTAGCCAGTTCCTACCTCCTATTCTTATCACACCATCCTCTGAAGAGGTGACCCAACTTGCAGATAGGGTATCGGGATGCAGATTCCTCCGGCTTCTTCCATGCAGAACAAAGATGCAGGGTGAGGCAATTGGAGCACCCCTTCAGTGGGTCTACCTAAAAGACTCCCAAATTGCATAACTCTTATCTGTAGGGAAAAAAGAAAGTCCTTGACTGATGAATAGGAGATGTGAAGGAGAAGTAAAGGCATTACAAGTTCTAGACAGGGAACCAGAAAAAAGTCAGGAACAGGGAAAATTTCAAATGTTCATATCAGAATCCATTGGGATTTCTTAACAAAAGCTTCCAAAAGCATCCCTCTATTGGGTTCCTCCTCATTTTTCTTTTGTCTGCCAAGGCTGGACTCAAGAGTGATAGACTCAGGATTTGTTTTCAGGCACTTTGAAAGCTGTTGGAGTGGCTAGAATCAGTGTCGGTTCCCTCTCAAAGGCTTCTAGATAGGGGGAGAAAACAAATTTAGCCATCATTTGTCTCCCTTAGCTACAGGTGGGCACTACAGTATTGGAGACCAAGATTTGAAGTCTTACATCTGAGCAGCACTTTCTGCTTAGAAACAAAATCAATGAGAAATAATTGTCTAAATAACATTTTTTAATCTTTATTATTATCATTATTACTATTTTATTTGTATGTGTGTATTGCTTGCATGTAGGTAAGTGCACCCATGTCATACAATGCCTACGGAGGTCAGAAGAGGCTGTCGAATCCCCTGGGACTGGAGTTATGGACAGTTGTTAGCTGCCATGCGGGTGCTGGGATTCAAACCCAGGTCTTCTGCAAGAACAACCAGTGTTCTTAACCACTGAGCCATCTCTCCAGTCCCTAAGCCTAATGTCTGGGAAGTGTAATCCCTTGAACTCTTGAAATATACTGATCACTTTAATCTTTGGTTATACTTTCCTTTTGGGTGGTTAAGACCATACAGTTGGCCCAAATAAACTAATTTATTTTTACTCTTCAGGTTGTTGGAGGCTCTGTTCCTCAGTGGTCACATGGGCTTGGGAGGAGCTCCTGGCTCTTTGTTTTACCAGTTTCGCCTATGTGAAGATCAGTCAAAGGTCCTGCTCGACCATGGCTGGCTTTACTTGGAAGCATGAATGAGATGTTTCCTCTGATTGACTCTCCTCTTTGTAGACTGGACACTGGTTCAAGTCCATCTGGTAGGGTCTCCATGACCACCTTGATCAAGAGGACAGGTGACTCACCACAGTTACAAGACATTTTGAGAGAGGCTTCTTGGGCTATGTAGATAAAACTTGGGCAAAAACCAAATGTTCTCAGATAAACCTTGACTAGATGTATATTTTGTTCCTTGAACTAGTTGACTAAACTCTGACCTTAGACGTTTTAAGATTTTGTGTATATTAGTTTTGTCTCATCCTTTATATATCATAGCAAACCTAGACCTTCATCACTTGCTTAGGCTTTCTCATTTTTTCTATTTTGGAAAATGTTTCCATTCCCATATCCTTTTAACATCTTTTACATTCTCATTTTCTCTTTTAATAATTATGAGACATAGTAACATTAACAAATAAAATTTCCAACTGTTAGAATTCTTTTCCTCAGAATACTAAGCAATGCTTATCCCCTTTTAAGGCTCTGGTGTCAAACCAACATTTGATTAAAATTTTCCTGGGGAACCAATGAATTTACTGAGCTTACTCACAGAGATGACTAAGGAGTTGATGAGGTGTGTGAGTGACCTGGGGGTATGCACAGTGGAAAGCCTTTACTCAGCATGGATCAAGCCTTCTCTTCCTAGCCTTCCCCAGATTGTATACTTTAGCCCTCCCCAAACCAGGAGACCATGCGTGATTAGGGCCAAATTACATACAGTTGGCTGAGAAGAGTACCTGGATACTCCTGCGAGGGTCCACGGACCCTGCTTGCCCCTCCTTTAATGAAGGAGCACAACTCTGCTTGCCAATCTTTAAAACAACTCTAAAGGTTAAACATTTCTCCTATGTTGTTAAAAACTGAGGCATGGAGTGTTTACACACAGTTTCGAACCTAAGTCTGTCCACACTTTTTCTACTGTTCATGGTTACACTAATAACACCAGTGGAACATAGTCTTCAACTTACATTGGGTGTGTCTCTCAAATTCCACCCAAACCTGGTCCTGTGATGCTGAGTGTATGAATGTAGATCTCCTGCCTCTGCCTTCTTTGTCTGTGTGTATACTGCCCACCTTATGGCATGGTGATGATTAAAGTTTAAGGTATAGAGATGAAGAAGAAAAAGCACAGAAAAGATAAACTTAATCACATAAGGGAAAGCTTGGGGGCTGGAAAGATGGCTCAGTGGTTAAGAGCACTAGCTGTTCTACCTGAGGACCTGAATTCAGTTCCCAGTAACCATGTGGTGGCTAACAACTGTCTGTAAGTCCAGTTCCACGTAATCCAGTGCCCTCTTCTGGCCTCCACAGGCAGTGCATGCATGTGGTATGCATATATGCAAGCAAAACACTCATACAAACAAGAAAATATTTTTAAAGAGAAAGCCTAGGGCCACTCCCTAAAGAGAAGAATTTGCTCTGGAAAACAAACAGGAACCATAAGAGAAAAATAAATGTGTAATTTTAATTTTCATGTTTCTTTGTTAGTGTGGTCATCGATGGATACCCTGTCACTACACACCAGATGAATCTCTTGGAAGCCAGGTCAATTATTCCCATGGCCATCTTTGAGTTGGATGTACCTTCCAAGGAGATTTTCAAAAGATTAATCCTAGAAAAAAAGACTGAACAAAGGTACTATTGGTGATTGTCCTAGTTTGTTTCTTCATTGCTGTGACAAAATACTCTGGCCAATACCAACTTGGGGAGGAAAGGGTTTATTCAGCTTACATCTCCCAGGTCACAGTTCATCAGGGAGCCCAAGGTAGGAACTCAGGGCAGGAACTTGGAGGCAGGAGCTGGAGTACAGGCCATGGAGGATCACTGCTTACTAACTTGCTCCCCTGGCCCCTGCTCAACCTGCTTTCTTATGCGACATGGGCCTACCTGCCCAGGGATGTTACCACCCACAGTGGGTTGGGCCCTCCCATATCACTCAACAATCAAGAAGGTGCCCCATGGACATGGCCACAGGCCAGTCCAATGAAAGCAGTTCCCCAGTTGAGGCTCCCTCAACCCAGGTGTGTCAAGTTGACACTAAAGCCATCCAGCACAGTGATGAAAACTGTAGTAAGGGAATGAATTTGACTCATCTGTGGAGGGGAATTTTTACATCTTCAACAACCTTTTCCATTTCTCTCTTTCTTCATTAGTCTGCCTTATCCATTGCACAATAGTACCCAGATTATAGCTGTCAAGAATGCAAAGTACCGCAAAAACATTAGTGAGATTAGGAAATTTTATCAAAAACAGCACCAGAACTGGCATGTGGTTGAAGGATTTCACAGTAAATGGTGGGTTTGGAATGAAATCATTAAGGACATTCAGCGGATGAATAAATACATACAGACATACATGGAAAGAATAAAAGAAGGTAAGAAAATACTTTTGTGCATAAGTGTGTGTATATTCGTGTGTGTGGGTGCCTGTGCATGCAGTGTATATGGAGGCCAGGGGACAGCCTCTGATGTCTTTCCTCAGGTGATGGCCACAATTTTTGCTTTTGGCCTGTGACTCCAGGGATCTACGTCCACCCGTCTCTGCCTTCCCAGCACTGGAATGCAAGCACATGCCACCACACCTGCCTTTTTTATGTGGGTTCTGGGGGTCGAACTCAAGTTCTCAGGCTTACCATGTAAGCACTTTATCAACGAGCCATCGGCCTAGGCCCAAGAAAAAAATTTTTTTAGAGAAAGGGTCTCACTACATAGCCTTGGCTGGCCTGGAACTTGTCATGTAAGACCAGGCTGACCTCGAACTCGTAGAGAGCCACCTGTCTCTGCCTCCCAAGTGCTGGAGAAAATATTTTTCAAAGTAAAATAAAATGTAAATTTAATCTTAAACCTGCCTGGCCCATGTTTACATAATTCATTAAACCTCAGCATTGGTCTTAACAATTTTAATTAGTATTTTAAAGATATAGTACTAACTGAATGTCCCCCAAATCATATATGGAACCCTAACCTACAGTGCAACAGTGTTAAAAGGCAGGGCCTTTATGAAGCAATTAGAATGGGATTTTGAATGGGATTAGTGCTCTTATAAAGAGGCTTAAGGGAGCTTGTTGGCTTCTTCTGCTATGTGAGAAAGTGCCAGTTATGAGGCTAGGTCATCTCCAGATACTAAATCTTCTGGCATCTTGATCTTGCACTGCCTCACCTCCAGAACTATGAGCAATACATTTCTGTTATGTCTCAATGACCTAGTCTAAGACATTTGTAGACTAGGACATGTTGGCATATATATTTATTCTAGTAAATGACAACTGCTGCTCAAGCTCATTTATTTATCTTTGTATTTTATTTTTTCATTTTAATTTATGCATAATCCTTGCACATCTTTTTGTTGGGGACTCAGTACTGAGGATCCTATCCAGAGCCTTGCACATGTGAGGCAAGCGCTCCACCACTGAGCTACATGAATAGACTTCACTGTCTGCTTTGATGGAGTACAGTGATAATTCAGTTTTTGTATACATGTGTAATGATCAAGTCAGGATAATTACCATTCTCATCTCTTTCTCATTTCTTGGTGAGTAGTGCTTCAGTTCTTTATCAAGTATGTAAGTTATATTGCAGGGCGTGGTGGCACATGCCTTTAATTCCAGCATTTGGGAGGCAGAGGCAGGCGGAGCTTTGAGAATTCAAGGCTAGCCTGGTCTACATAGCAAGTTCCAGACCAGCTGGGACTACAGGGAGACCCTGTCTCAAGAAGACCAAAAAAAAAATGTAAGATATAAACTATAGTCACCCTTCTGTGCTGTAGAACACTAGAACTTCTCCTCCTAACTGTACTTTGCTACCCATTATCCAATCTTCCTCTGTGTACTCCCAAGCCCTCCCTTGCCTATAGTAGTGACTATTCTGATTTCTTCTTTTCACACACACACACACACACACACACACACACATATATATATAATCTTTTAAATTTTATGTGTATGAATGTATTGCTTGTGTATATGTAAGTGTACCCATGTCATGCAATGCACAAAGGTCAGAAGAAGGGTCAGATCCCCTGAAACTGGAGTTACACAAGGTTGTTAGCCACCATGTGGGTGCTGGGAATAGAACCCTGGTCCTCTGCAAGAGCAGTCAGTGCTTTTAACCACTGAACCAAATCTCCAGCCTCTACTTTCTTCTTCTTCTTTTTTTCCAGATTTAAATTATTTATTTTGCCTCAGACTTTGAAGGTCCAGTCCATCATGATGGGGAAGTTATGACATCAGGAGCTTGAGGAAGCTGGTCCCATTGCATCCAGGAAAGATGCTGACACCAGCTACTTTCTTCTTTTTTAAGATAAATTTTCTTTAGCTTCTGCATATGAGTGAGAATATTAATATTTATATTTCTGTGTATGGATTGTTTAACTGAACATGCTGTCTTCCAAGTCTACCAGTTTTGCTCTCAAAATAACAGGACTTTATTCTTTTTTAAAATCTGAACAATATTCCATTGTGTCTACCACGTTCCCTTTACCCACTCATCTGCTGATAGATACCTTGGTTGATTCTACATCTTGGGTATTGTAAGTGGTGAGTTTAAAATATGAATACATACATCTCTTTGAATACGCTGATTTCACTTCCTTTGTGTTTATACTCAGAAGTGGGGTGACTGGATCATGGTGGTTCTGTTTGGGTCATTTAAGGAAGCTCTGTACTGTCCTCCCTGATGGCCATCCTAACAGTATGAGTTCCCCTTCCTCTGTTTCCTTGCCAGAATTTATTATTCTTTTGTCTATTTTACTATCTCATCTGGGATGAGATGATACTTCATTGTGGTTTTGATTTGCATCTCCCTGATAACTAGTGGAATTGGGCAACTTTCATGTATTTGTTGATCACATCTTTTGAGAACGTGTCTGTGTTCATGTCTGTATTACTTTTCTCATCACTGTGACCAAATACCTGACAAGAAGCAACTTAAGGGAGGAAGGTTTATTTATTTATTTTTTCCCTGCCCCATCATGGCAGGGAAGGCATAGTGTTTGTGGGAGCTGCTCAAGGTTACAGTGGACTCTACAGACCAAGTAGAGGACTCAGGACAGGAAGCAGGACTGAGTTAGACTTCAAGGTCCAGTCTTTCCCACCTCCGAGTAATCCCACCTTCCAACAGTTCCACAGCTTCCCAAAATAGAACCCCCAGGTAGGGACCAAGTGTTCATACAGATGAGTTTGTGGGGGGACATTTCAAGTCCAAACCATTATGTCATTTGCAAATTTGTTGTTTTATTTTTATACTTTTGAGTTGAGTTCCTTGTAAATGCTGATGTTGATTCATTGTCACAGGAATAGTTTACAACCGCTTTCTCCTACTCTTCGGATTCTCTCTTCATTCTGGTTACTGTTTCGTTTGCTGCACAGAAGCCTCTTAGCTGTAACTGACAATGCCATCTGTGAACTTTGTTTTTCTTGCTTGCATTTTGGGGGTCCAAAAAAAATCAATCATTGTCTACACTGACATCTTGAAGGATTTCCCATATCTCTCTCTCTCTCTCTCTCTCTCTCTCTCTCTCTCTCTCTCTCACACACACACACACACACACACACACACACACACACCTTCCCTCCCTCT